ATAAAAATGAATACATATGCCTATCAAAAGACATGTACAAGAATGTTAATAGTGGCTCTATTCGAAATAGCCCAAAATGGAAACAATCCAAATATAGTAGAATAAATAAATAAGTTGTGGTATTAATATATTAATACAATGGAATATCACCCATCAATGAAAAAGTGTGAAGTATATTAATACTTTCAACATGTTAAAACTCACAGACATAATGTTGAGTAAAATAGGTATGATCTCATCTATACGAAGTTCTGTATTATTTCATCTACATGAAGTTTAAAATGGGAGAATAGTGGTTACCTAGAGGGGCACTGACTGGGTGGGGGAGTGGGCACAAAGGAGCCTCCCGGGAAGCTGGAAGTGGTGTCTATCCTGTCCCGGGAGGTGATCACGTGGTGGTACACATATGTAAAAATTCATTGAGCAATGCGCTCAAGATATCTATACTTCATTGTATGTAAGTTATACCATAATAGAAAGATAATGAGTAAGATACTCCTTTACTAAAGAATATAAAAGAGTTAACCAGATTCGATGGTAGGGTGGGAAGAGCGGGGAAGGTAGGAGAGGGCGTCACAGGAGAGAGGAAAAGCATGTTTGGAGGAGGTCTGGGCAACTGGAAACCTGCAATCAGGCAACGTGTCTCGAGTGTTGGAAGTGGAAGGGGAAGAGGCTGGGGCGGGGTCAGGGGTCAGACTGGGAAGAGGGCGGCGTAGAATATTGATGGCCGGTATTCATGCGGTCCCTTCACTCTGCAAGGGCTTCCCGAAGGGCCAGGCAGAGGCCTGGCCCTTTCCAGCCCAGGAAGGAAGGCAGGCCTTGCCTTTTGTCAGCTAGAAACCAGTCAGGGAGGGCACAGCAATTAACACTACTGGGATCTTATCGGGGTGATAAAAACGTTCTAAAACTGATTTGTGGTGATGGCTGTACAACTCGGTAAATTTACTAAAAAAGAAAATCACTGACTTGTACGCCTGAAATGAGCGAATTATATGATAAAATACGCCGCAGTAAAGTTACTTTAAAAATTGAAGGCAAATTCTTCCCTCCTCTTGATGGCCGATGCCCTGGGGGGATCCCGAGGATCTTTTATTTTTATCTTCTATTTTTGTGTATTTATTTTTTAGAGACAGGTCTTGCTCTGCCACCCAGGCTGGAGTGCAGTGGTGTGATCACAGCTCATCACAGCCCTGAACTCCTGGGCTCAAGGGATCCTCCTGCCTCAGCCTCCCTCGTAGCTTGAGACTACAGGCACACGCCACTGGGCATCTTTCAGGCCTCTTCCACCACTAGGTCTCGCTCCGCCTCCCCTGCCCTCCCCTGCCAGTGTTTCAGCTGTGAGCACACTCGCATCCGCATCCCTGCCAACAGCTCTCCCGGCAGACAGGACCAGAGAGCTGCCCCCACTGACGAGACACCAGGGCCCTGAGGGGGCTGGGAGGAGAGCGCCTGCTGCCTGTGCTGTCACATAGCCCAGGGAAGGGGGGATTCATTCCCCGTTCACGATGAGACGACAGAGTGCCGGCAGATTGGATGCTCAGGCTTTCCCGGTCAGGGGCAGAGCCTGTGCAGCCTCTGACCCAGCCGGACAAGGGGTCAAGTCACCGGGAATGGGAGAGTCTGCGTGTGAGGGCTCAGGGGCAGACTGGAGGGGCCAGGTGTGGGCAGCAGCTGTCACTCACCACTTCTTGCCACTGATGTCGTGCTGCTGCACCGTGTAGCCAAAGAAGGCCGTCCTGGAGCCAGCGATGACCCGGGGCTTCCTGGTGTCCATGTTGAAGGTGTCTGTGAACCCTGGGGTGGGAAGAGGAGAGAAGCAGGGCAGTCAGACAGGTGCAGGTGCAGGTTCCAGGGCTGCGTCGGGACCCACCGGCAGGTCGCCTACCGGAGGGTCTTGGCCGTGGGGGAGTATGTTCCCCCCTCCTTGGGGAGCCCCCATATGACCTGGTTGACATAGTCCCTGACTGGCAGAGCCCACAGTGGGATGGGGGAGGTTCAGTCCCTGTGCTGGGGGGGCCCACACACTGAGAGGGGTGGCATAAAACCTGCTCTTGGGGAGACCCAGTCTGAATGAAGACCCAGCCTCTCCTCCAGAGAATTCCTCGGCTTGCAGGGGAAGCAGCTTTCTCCTCCCTCCTTCAAGCCTGCGCCTTCTAGCTCCTGTTGATCTCCTCTCCCTTTCGCCCTCTTTTCCCTCTGCCTCCTGCTCTCTCTTCTGCTCCCTTTCCTTCATCTCCGCCTGCTGAAGAGTCAGGGAACTGACTTCCCACCTCCTCCCCACCGAAAGCCTGGGGTCACGGGGGCTCCGGCGCTGCTGGCTGGCCCCTTCCCTCTGATCCCGTCGGCACGGCTCTGTCTGGCTCCGCAGCGAGGGGCTGCTGCTTGGCCGGGGCAGCCGAGGCAGAGCGGAGAGAAAGTCCTGTAAGCCCTTTGCCCCGGCCCCTGGAGTCTCCCCTGTTCGGGTAAGTCGTGCGTCAATTAACTAATGCTTCCTGGCCAGAAGCTGTATGGAGCTACCTGCTTGACCTCTTTGGGCAAATCACAAGAAAGAACACCTCACACCTGTGGAGCACTTC